TGTGTGGTGCCATGCCCTCCTGGAAGGTCTACATGCACGGACACAAATCTACTGCTGTATCCCAATCTTGGGCTCCTGCAGAAATACACCGCTGGCTTTGAATTCCAGAGACAGCCTGAATGGTGGCCTTGACCTTCATCTGGACAGAAGGGTGAGCACCACATGTACTGAAGCAGTGAGAGGTGCAGCCCAGGGTAGCTGTCACGGAGGTGAGAAAATTGGGGTGTGGATCCCAGACCCCATCCCATCCAACCCCTGCGGTCCATCCCTGCAGTAGCATCATTGGACTCCAGCCCTACCCCTTCACCCCATCAGTATTTTGGGGCCATGGAAGAAGCACAGGACTCTGGGAGCACGGCCATGTTTGTTCTTCCTACAGTAAAGCCCCCATTCCAAGCCCTGCTCCCTGCCCACCCATTGAGCAATGCAACGTCCTATTGTTCTGGGCATCATACATTTCACCAGGAAGCAGGCAGGAAGGAGGGAGGAACCACTTGGCTGTGACCCAGCTCTGGCTACCAAGACTGTCACAGAGTGGAGTTTGGAGGTTAAGGAAATCCCCAGGCAAGTTTAGAAGCTAGAAAGATCATGAGAGAAAACCTCCTTCAGCTTGAAAGTAAAGGGTAGGGCCAGCAACTGCGTGAGGAAACACCATACAAGCATGCATCAGTTTGAGACCTGGTGTGTGAAAGTGAAAAAGTTCTTGGCAAACAATATGCCTGCTTTGTTTCATTTATCAGTTTCATTTCCCTCTCCCTCCCCACCCACTGCTCCTCCTCTGCATCTTCTATGCTGACCATAAGTGGCTCAGACAGTTGCTGTGTGTCCCAAGGGAGGCTGGCCTGAAGTGGTGACACCTCTTGCAGCAGCAGCAGTATCCTGCCACACACCTTCTGCTCATTACAGATGGAGTCTTTAGTTCCTCTGCCTGCATCAGAGCAGCACTTGGAGGGGTGGAGGGAGCAGTGGCAGTTATCTTGCAGCACACCTACCAAAAATGTTGGCTACCACTGCCCTATACCCTCCCTTTCTCGGTCCCAGCCTCCTCTCTCCTTTGCAGATCTCTCCTTTCTCTTGTACTGGCTCCTCAGCAGAGTTTTGTTTCCTGCCCTAGCTCTGGGTTTCCTTCCACCGTTCAGATCTAGAGTCTGCAGCTGGCACTTCCGTCAGCTTTCCCACCCCCTGCAGGCAGCTGTCCTGTGGGGTGTGCTGTGGGTAGGGTGCAGGCATGCAACATTGGCAGGAGGGCTGCCATTCAGCAAAGCAGGCTGGCCCTGAGCTGCTGTCTAAGGCCATGGTCTTCCTCACTGCCTCTACTCTGGGACTGTCCCAAGGATGAGGATCCATGTGGGTATGCGAGCAACATGTTATGCCAGGGGTGTCAGACTCACCCCAGCCCTGGGCCAGACCTGAACTTTAGGACTCCTTGTGGGACAAATCTGGATGCAGCAGTGCCAACAGTGGTAGTAGCACATGGGGCTGCTCTTTCTGCACCCCTCCATGCAATCAGTCACACCACGTGCATCTACACGAGACGCTTTACTTGTCAGTAGCATAGTTTACTGCAAAGTAAATATGTGCGTCTACATGTGCACATACCTACTTTGCAATAAACCTCCCCAGTTCTGAGTCAATTTGCTACCTGGAAATGCAAGTAGCAAATTTACTCAGGATCAGTAACAGCGTGGTAGCCCTCATGTAGACACCTGACCTGGAGCAAAATCTGCCATTACCATCCACCAGGAGATAGTTCCCTATCCCTGGGAGCTGCTTGCCACTGGGGCAGGCTCTGCCACAGGAGCGCAGGCAGGGACTATGTCTCCCTGCCCAGCAGCAGGGAGCTCCAAGTCCCTGCTCCCAGTTTGCAACCTAGGAGTGGGGCCTCAGAGATCCTTATCTCCCAGCCCCTGCTCCACCATCACAGTTGGGGAGCAGGGGGCTAGGAGACCTTATCTCCCAGCCCAAGCTCCATGATTGCAGAGCTTGGGCTGGGAGATATATGGGTCTCCCCACCTGAGCCCTGTGACCAGGGAGCCTGAGCTGGGAGCTCCCTGCTGGCAGGGGCAGAGAAGCCTGGTCCCCACCCAGCTCCGTGATCCCAGAGCTGGGGCTGGGAGCAGGCTGGGAGCTTGTTCGCAGCCCCTGCTCCACGATTGCAGAGTGGGGGCTGGGAATAAGCTCCCCAGCCCCAACTCCTTGATCACAACTGCAATTCCAGAGCAGGGGCTGGGAGCTCCCTGCATGGGGACAGTTTCCTGCCCAGCCTGGAGCTGGCTGGGATGTGTCCCTGACCAAAACAGTTCCCAGCCAGCCCCAGGCTGTGCTGGGAAGCATGTGCAGGCTGGGGATGGCTGGGGACTGTCCTGTTTTGAGCAGTCCCCAGCCAGCTCCGGGCTGCACGTGTGGACTTACCCGCATAGCCCATGGCTGGCCTGTAACTGTCCCGGTCAGGAGTAGGTCCCAGCCGCATTCCCCAGTCAGGTAATCAAGGTCCAGGGGGGTGACCTGCTAGCTACCCCACCTGTGGATTGGGGCAGGGGGCTGGGATCTTCCCCTACCCTGCAGCTCTTTTCAAGCCCCATCACAGACAACACATAGGAAGGGCACAAGGGGGCATGTGCCCCCTTGAGTTTGGCTGCTGCCAAAGCCCCCCTCCCCACCCCTCACTGCCAAAACCATGGGTGGCAGCTGCAGGCAGTCCCCACTCGCCAGTATGGCACCCCCACTGTCGCGGGAGACACCAGTCCTTCACGAGCCCCATGCTCCCCATCAGGACCAAGAGCTCCCTGCTGCTGGGGCAGGGAGACATTTTCCCTGCTCCAGCAGCAGGCTGCACCCAAGGAGTAGCATCCAGGGGAAGCCTGGTGATCTCCTGGTGGTGGCAGGGGCCTATTGCATGACTGCAGGGACCTGGGTGCTAGGGCTGTGTGAGGCTTTGGACAGAGCTTCAGATCTGAAGAAGCTTCGGGGTCCGAAGCAGCACATCCGGGTCGACACACTGCCTCATTAAGCTTCCTGCTGTCTGTCAGCAGCCAGGGGTGCAGGGCCCCAGAACCCCCCTGCACCGATCTCCTCCACAGCTGGCAGGCGTCGTGGCCGCAGCAGGGGCTACCATCCCTGCAGCTGTCACCCCACTGCACCTTAACACACACAGTGTCACCCATGGCATGAGTTTTGCTTGTCTGCAGCTTGAGGGACAGTTCCCCCCAAACCCCTGCACTGATCTTCTTGAAACTTGGCAGGCTTTGTGGCCTCATTAAGAGCTACCATCCCTGCAGTTTTGACCCTCCTGTGGTGTAACACATAGACGTGACAGCAGTTTTGCTTTCAGGAATTTGGGGTACAGTTCCTCCAAACCCCTACACTGATCTTCTTGAAACTTGGCAGGTTTTATTCTCTCCACAGAGGCTACCATCCCTGCAAGTTTCATCTAAATTGGACAAAAACCAACAAAGTTATAGATGTTTCATTGATTCCCCATTATACCTGGATCCGGACATCCGAGGCAGCTCTAAAGCTTGGGAGCCGTTTCAGCCGGATCGAGATGGAAACCCGGTCTGGAGCTTCAGATTGGATCACTGCCATCCGAAGCGGCCGGATCTAAAGCCAGATCAGATCACTGCCAACTCGCATGAGCCTACTGGGTGCAAATCTTCTCCCTAATCCCTGCATGTGTAGATGCTTGCCCAAACACCCTTACACTAGAGCAGTTTACACCAAAGTAAACTTGAGCCAGAGTAAATGCATGTGTAGACATACCCACTGTCCTGTATATCTGACAAAAGCAAAAATCGGCAAGTCACATGCTCTCCTGGGGTAACTCTACTGAGCTCCATGAGGTCAGTGAGGCTGTGCCTATGTGTATCAGCCGGCCTCAGGGGCTTAAATTCATAGGTGTGATTGCATGTAGATATATCTGGGCTAGCTATAAACTTACTGGCTCAGGTGTTGTGTCTACACTGCAGTCCTGGGGTAGGACTGCAGCTTCTGGAGGCAGACTGCCAGCTAACTTTAAATTAGTCAGGCACTGATGCCAATATAGCAGCATTCTGACTTCTGCTTAACCTGCTTGGGCTATGGTTTCATTTTATTAACGCTATTTAACTCAACTCCAGGGCATTCTCTGTCTGTTCCCAAAGCTGTGAGAGGAGTGAATGCTGAGAAGAAATTGCATGAGTTTGGATTTGTTACAAAAGAAATATACTGTAGGCCTTAATTCAGAAGTGTATTGGGAAATCAGAACTGTAAAGGAAGCCTGCTTCAGGGCACGTTAAGACTTCTGGGCTAAAAGACAAGGCAGGCATAGTTGTAGCAGTGGTTGCAACCAGCCGAAAGGCATACTTGCAGGTCTATGATGAAATAGCCACAGCTTTGGTAAAGTAGCTCTCACCTTGGGGGAAGATCCCCCTTCATACATGCCTGGGGGGTGGGGAGTGACAAGGGGCCAGCCACAGAGACTCTGAGTCCCTGCTGAGGGGGGGGAAGCCACAGCGCAGACCCCAGGGCTGCCCAGGGAGAAGTGGCTGTAAAACAGGACCCTTGGGCATTGGGGGAAGGCAAGTGGCTTCTGGAGGACAACAAAGAGGAGGCAAAGGAGCTGCTTGAATCTCTCCTTAGATCTGAGCAAAGAGGTTTGCACAGCAGCAGGTCCTTCTCCCTGGGCAGCCCAGGCTCCCTGCTCTTTATTTTGTTTTTTAAATAAATGTTTCGCGTTCCCCGCCAAATCGAGTCCAAATCCCTGAGTCAGCCCAAAACCGTAGTGGCCCTACAACCGGCAAACACCCTCCGACCCCACCAGAGCTGCAGATCTTTCCCAAATCCTCTAGCAGGTGTCCTAGGGGCAGGCCCAAGCCCCGAGGCTCGGAGGCCCCTGAGTTTCGCCCCCCGCCCTCAGCCCTGCGGCCGCAGGAGCGAGCTAGGAAGGGCCCCGGCCCCGCCCCGGCCCGCCCCGGCTCTCTGCCCCTCCCTGGGGCCGGCCAGATTACCCCACTCCGCGCCGCGCCGCCCAGACCTGCGGCGGCGGCGGCAATGGAGAGCAGTGGGGCCGCCGTGAGCATCGCCATGCCGCTCTACAGAAAGGACGGGGCGAGCCAGCCCCCGCCCTACGCCGGCGCCCGGGGGGCTGCGCAGCGCCTGGACATCCTCTTGCCGCCCCGCGACTTCGTGCTCTGGTCCTTCTTCAACACCGTCTTCTGCAACCCCTGCTGCCTCGGCTTCCTGGCGCTCGTCTTCTCCATCAAGGTACGTGCGGGGCACCCCGCGGCTCCGCGACGGGGCGCGCGGGTCTAGGGGCCGCTGCGGTTCTTCACGCCCGCACTGGAGACCTCGGGGGGAAGGAAACTGCCGTCGGGGCGATAAGCTGGATCCGCTCATTTAACTGGAGCGGAGCCACGTCCACTAACTTCCCCTCCCTGGCCAGGCTCTCCCTGGCGCCCAGCGCGGGCGATCGGCTGGGGCACTGTCTCTGCACAGCTCGGTGTCAGGGCCCCTTTGGGGTCAAACTGTGCCCCCGCAGTGCTGTGTCTTTGAGGTGGTCAATGAGATAAATGAAACAGCGGGGGAAAAGGCATGAGACAAGGAGGGGAAACACAAGCGTCCAGGCCATGTCAGGACTGAGCCCAGCTGCAAGCTAGGTGAAGGGTATGGGGAAGAGGGAACAGAGATCTGGAAAGCTGGAGAAGGCAGCCGGCAAATCCAGGGGGAGCCTGAATGGTGACCATGACGTTCACCTGGACAGAGGGGTGGGCTCCCCGTGTATTGGAGCAGTGGGAAGTGCAGCCCAGGGTAGGAGGTGAGAGGACATCGATGGAAGAGGGGATTTCAGCAGAGCTGGTGTCCCAGCACATGGGCAGCCTGATCAAGAGTGAGCTGAGTCCCGGCCAGGGAAGAGAGGGCGACACTGGAGTCCTACAGTAGGAGTCCTCAGTTCTCCTTGCTGGTTGCCAGTAGCATGGCAAAGCTGAAACCTGAACTTCTAAGTCCGTGAGCACTCACGACTTGCATAGATGCCTCCGACAGGAGGTGCACGATCTCTACTTACTCCTTGTCCTCTTCTCCACCAGGCAAGAGACCGCAAAGTTCTGGGTGACATAAATGGTGCACACAGCTACGGGAAGACTGCCAGGAACCTGAACATCGCTATTGTGGTCCTGAGCATCATCTTCATCATTTTGGTCATTACCCTTTTTGCAACTATCCATAAGCACTAAATAGGCACCATATAACCACACCTGGAACATCAGCTGCAGCAAGTGAGCCCCCCTGCTCTGGGGTTCAGTTCAGCAGGACAACTGTACTCAGCTTCACCTTCCTCCCATCGCAGGCACTTGCCCTTGTTCCTGCTGTTGCATTCCCAAGAGAGGAACTGGATGGGGACTATACTGATGGCAGGGTCTGTGCTCTACTGACGCCTCCAGTTCAGCTTTGGAACTGGAGTCTCTGCCCCTGTCTCCTAACAGCCTGCCTGGAAGTCCCATCACCCTTTCCCTGATGGAGCCAGCACCATGTAGATGGATATCTCCAGGCACTCTGTTTCCTCAGGCTGGCAGCCAACTGCCTAGTCTCTAAAGTCCTCTGAGAGCTTGCTGTTTCCTGTTGCAAAGGGGCATGTTTCTCTGCTTTATGATACTGTCCTGCTTATCTTGACAGATCATTTTTTTTAGGCTTTTCCTCAGTAGAAATGGTGAGCCTGTGCCAATAAAGGGCCTTTTGTTTTCTCTTGTGTGAATGGTAATGTCTTTATACTACTGTAACCCGTGCCAGCATACTAAGGCTGGGTGATGTGCCAGGATTTGGGTCCTCAGGGTGCCAGTAGCCCTGGGAGACCCTCAGGCAGACTAAGGGCTAACTTTCAAAGCCTAAGAAAATCCCCAAATAATACTTTCCCCAAATAATACTTTTAATACAAGTTGAGACCTGATCTGTGACCACAGAAAAGTTCTGGGTAAACTAAATGTCTGCCTTCTTTCCCTTTCAGAGTTTTGTTTCCTTTTGTTCCTCCCCAACTGCGGCTCCTCCTGTGCATCACTTCTGCTGGCCACAAGTGGCTGGGGCAGCTGTTGGGTGCCTCAAGGAAACTGGCTATTGGGGTGACACCTGACATCTCTCACAGCAGCAGCAGCAGCATCCTGCCTGCTATATTCCACTCTTTGCAGATGAAGGCTTCAGTTCTTCTTCTTCCATCAGAACAGCACAGTGGAGGAAAGCACTTAACTTGCAGCACATCTTCCAAAAAGAGTTGGCTACCAGTGCCCTATACCTTCCCTTCCTGAGTCCCTGGCTCTTCTCTCCTCTGTAGATATCTTTTCTCTTGTGCTGGTGCCATGGCAGAGTTTTGTTTCCTGCCCTGGCTTTGGGTTTCCTTTCACCATTCAGATCTGGAGTCTGTGGCTGGCATCCCTGCAAGCAGCTCCCCTGTGGGGTGTGCTGCGGGTAGAGTGTAGGCACACAATGTTGGCAGGAAGCCAGCTATTCAGCAGAGCAGGCTGGTCCTGAGTCCCCAACTAATGCCATGCAGTTCCTCACCTCCTCTGCTCTGGGACAATCCCAAAGTTGGGGGGGAAGGGGGAAGGGATGTGCGCACATGCATACAAGTAGTAGGTTAAACAAGGGGTGTCAAACTCACCCCAACCTTGGACCAGACTTGTGGGACAGACATGGATGCAGCAGTAGCACAGGAGGCTGCTGTTTTTGCCCCTCTCATTAAATTTGGGGCCCAGCGCTAATGCCCTGGTTGCTTCTCCCTCCCCTCAGTCAGTCACTGTCCTGTATACATCTTATGAGAGCTAAAATCAACAACAAGCCATTGAGCTCCATGAAGTCAGTGAGGATCTGTCTACCTGTATCAGCTGAGGATCTGGCCTCAGAGACTTGGATCCAGAGATGTGACTGTACATAGATGTACCTAGGCTAGCTATGAAACCACTAGTTCCAGTGCTGATAACACCATAGCTCTAACAGGATCACTGTCAGCTTGGAATGTATAAGTCCTCCCAGATCCCTACATAAGCGCTCAGCAGCAGAAGTCAGGATTTCTGCTGCTATATTGGCATCAGTTCCTGACTAATTTAAAGTTAGCTTGCAGTCTGCCTCCAGGAGCTGCAATCCTACCCCAGGACTACAGTATAGACACAACCTTGGACACAGCTCATCCACTAACATTTCCCTGGGGGGAGAGAGAAGCCACCCTCTCTACAGGCTGATCCTTCCTGGATTGGAATAAAATGCTGCTTCACCTCCAGTGGGTGCCCTAACTTAAGAGTCTGTCAATCTCAACTTACCATGGACCCAAGACAGTAAGTATTCAGAGGGACAGGGTGAATGGGACTCTTCCCTCAGGCCCTGCAGTTCTGTTTTTTTTACTGTCTGACCAGCCCCATTAGGCTTTTATGTCTATTAGCTAAGATGGACACAATGTGCCACCTTCAAAAGTGTAAATTCGGATGACTATCAATTTCAGCAATACTGTGTGAATTTAGACCTTTGCTCAGTTCAGTCTTCCATGAGAATAAGGCCTGTTTCAACTTCTACTCATAAATCAACCAATCCATCATGCTGCTTGTGTCTCAGATTTTCCATCGCCCTTCATTTTCCCTTTCAGGGAGATGTTTCAGATGTCACCTCCATGTTTTGTTTTGTTTTTTGCATGTTTTTTCTTTTCCAATCCTCTCTTCTAGCAAATGATTCTTGAGCTGGACTCAGGCCTACTGTCTGTGGCAGGGGACAGAGAAGCCAGACTCAAGGTAGGCTGTTGAGAAATAGCGATTTCCAAGGAAAGGTTTCTTCCATTTACGCTACTTAGATCAGCTCCAGTGCATTCTCTGTCTGTTCCAAAGGCTGTGAGAGGAACAAAACCTGAGAAAAGATTGCATGAGTTTGGATTTGTTAGAAAAGAAATATACTGTAGGCCTTAATTCAGAAGTGTATTGGGAAATCAGAACTGTAAAGAAAGCCTGCTTCAGGACACATTATCACTTTTGTGTTGAAAGCCAAGGAAGACAAAGTTGTAGCAGTGTTTGTAATCAACTGGAAGGTACACCGTGAGGTATACAGATTTCATAGACATTAGCGCTGGAAGGGACCTCGCAAGATCATTGAGTCCAGCTCCCTGCACCAGGGGCAGGAAGTCAGCTGGGGTCAAAAGATCCCAGCAAGATAAGTGTCCAAACGTTTCTTAAAAGAGTCTAGAGTAGGTGCTTGCACCACCTCTGGAGGCAGTCTATTCCAGGCCTTGGGGGCTCAGACAGTAAAGCAGTTTTTCCTAATGTCTAGCCTCAAACAGTCTTGGAGGAGTTTGTGACTTTTGGACCTTTTCATCTCTTGGAGTGCTCTGGTCCATGAGTTTCCTGCTGAGCCAAGGGGGTCTCCCAGTCCTTTTGCTACCTTTCCTACAGGTCAGAATGGACTTCCCTTGTGCTTTTAGGATCATGTCTGTAAAGAGCGACCACTCATCATGGACTCCCCTCCCTATCAGATCATGATCTACCTGGAGCTTGACAACCAACCTCCTGAACTTTTGAAAATCAGCTTTCCCAAAGTCAAGGATTTCTACATTGCTGACTGATTTGCCAGCTTTGTGATGAATAGAGAAAGTGATCAGCTTGTGATCACTTTCACCTCTTCATCATTTGGACATCATCATATGAGGAGAGACTAAGGGACCTGGACTTCTTCAGCCTCCAAACGAGAAGGCTGAGAGGCAATCTTGTGGCTGCCTGCAAATTCATTAGAGATGGGCAGTAAGGAATTAGAGGTGCTCTGTTCACCAGAGTGCCTCCTGGGGTAACAAGGAACAATGGTCACAAACTGACAGGGAGCAGATTTAGGCCAGACATCAGGAAGAACTTCTTCACGGTAAGGATGGCCAGAATCTGCAGCGGGCTTCCCAGGGAGGTGGTGCTCTCCCCTACCTTGGGGGTCTTTAAGAGAAGCCTGGATAGGCATCTGGCTGGGCCATCTGACCCCAGCACTCTTTCCTGCCCAGCACAGGGGGTCGGACTCGATGATTTGCTGAGGTCCCTTCTGATCCTAGTATCTATATATCATTTGGACTGAAAACTAGGGCTGTGCGAAATGGAAATGTTTCATTTCGACCAGCATTACAATGTTTTGACAGAACAGTGTTTTGTTTTGACTTTTGTTTCACGTCAAAATGGCTGTTCCGTTTCGTCCTCTCGAAACGTTTTGCCATTTCGACCCCGTTTCAATGTTTCGCCCATAGGATGTAATGGGGAAGGTCAAAACAGGCTATACCTTTGCCATTTCTGGCCAGATTTGGATGACACTTGCAAAAATGGTAGCCCCTTCTACGGGCATGATGTGTACCAGGTTTCAAGAAGATAGGTGCAGGAGGGTTGGAGAAACTCCACCCCAAAATCTTGAGACAAAAACTCATGTTATGTGTATGTGTTCAGCCACAGCAGGGTCAAAACTACAGAAATATTATCCCCTGAAGAGGCAACAAACTCTGCCAAGTTTCAAGGAAATAGGTGCAGGGGGTTTGGAGAAACTGCCCCCCAAAATTCTGAAAGGAAAATTTGTCTCACATGTAGCTGTTAAGCCACAGTGGGGTAAAAACTGCAAGAATGCTAGCCCCTAGTGAGGCCACAGAGCCTGTCAAGTTTCAAGAAGATCGGTGCAGGGGTTTGGGAGGAACTTCACCCCAAATTCCTAAAAGCAAAACTGATGTCACGTGTATGTGTTACACCACAGAGGGGTGAAAACTGCAGGGGTGGCAGCCCCTGGTGAGGCCAAGAAGCTTGTCAAGTTTCAAGAAGATCGGTGCAGGGGTTTGGGGGGAACTTCACCTCAAGCTGCTGACAGGCAAAACTCATGACACAGATGATCCTGTGCGCCTAAGGCACAGTGGGGTGACAGCTGCAGGGGTGGTAGCTCTCACTGTGGCCACAAAGCCTGCCAAGTTTCAAGGAGATAAGTGCAGGGGTTTGGCAGAAACTGCACCTCAAGCTGCGGACAAGCAAAACTTGTGACATGGGTGCTTGTGCAACTGTGTCTGTCTTCCAGCACTGGGTGGAGGGACTACTGCCGGCTTGGCTGCTAAACTACTGTGTTATCAATTACCAATCAATCATGATTCCCTCAGGGACCAGCTCAATACCAAGACCTAGCTACTACATAACAACTTAACCAGCATGAATTAACACCTTCAAACCACAGGCTAAGGAGAGGAAATAATGAATACAGACAACCAGCTGCCCCGAGACAGACACAGTCAGTTGCACAAGCACCCATGTCATGAGTTTTGCCTGTCAGCAGCTAGAACCCAGAAGCCCTGCACCGATCTCCTTGACAGCTGGCAGGCTTTGTGGCTGCAGCAGAGGCTAACAGGCCTGCACCTTTCACCCCGCTGCGCCTTAACACACACAGTGTCACCCATGTCATGAGTTTTGCTTGTCTGCAGCTTGAGGTGCAGTTTACCACAAACCTCTGCACTTACCTCCTTGAAACTTGGCAGGATTTGTGGCCTCAGCAGGGGCTAGCATACCTGCAGTTTTGACCCCACTGTGTCTTAACACCTACACGTGACATGAGTTTTGCTTTCAGGATTTTGGGGTGCAGTTTCTCCGAACCCCCTGCACCTATCTTCCCGAAATGTGGCAGGCTCTGTGGCCTCAGCAGAGGCTAGCATGCCTGTGGTTTTAACCTGGCTGTGGCTTAACATATACACGACACAAGTTTGGCTCTCAAGACTTTGGGG